TAACTGTGCGGCCCTTCAGAGCAATGTCGACATTCTCTGGAATGTCGACAGTCTGGTTGCTGAGAATGGTCTTCATTCTGGCAGTTAATGTGGTAAAGAGCGAAATATTTTAAGGTTTCTATTCAGAGATCTCTTGCTAGAGGCTAACCTTTTTATTTGGCATAAAACATACATGTGAGAATACACTATTCCTCTGTGGAAGACTGATGAAACATCATTTTGTTTATAATTACTCAGAAAAATCTGTAAAACAGAGGTTTATTATCTTTAAAAAATAATACAATCACCTGAGCCAGATAATTTTCAGAGAAATAGTAGAACTTCCAGGGGTTACATGTCTTTTTAAAGCTGATAATAAAGAAATGCTTACCTTTGGAAGCATGGGAGTATCCCTTTTCTTCTTCTTTTCTGAATTAGGGTCATCTAATAAATCTGGCTCAAAGGTGTAAAGTTCAGTAAGCTCATTCATGGTAAAATGACGTTCAACCTGTTGCTGGTCAACAACTCGAAAAGACAGTGATTGCTTAGTTACTTGCCGATCATAAATCTTATCTTCCATGGTTCCCTTTGTAAAAAGAAGTAACAGTGTACAAATAAATGCAATTTTGCAAGAACGGAAACACAATCATGAAGTCACTGATTATTATGAAATGACTATACACTATTATAAAATAAACTATATTAGTAACAATAATGAAATCATGAAAGATTTCATCTATCCATAGTTTACCAGGACAAACAAGGAAATATGTATTAATAACCATTCTATATGGCTTGATTAAAATGTATTAATGGTTACTTTATATCTTTTTATCACTGAAGAAGAATTGATGCCTTTGAGTTGTGGTGTTGGAGAAGAGCACGGAAATTCCCATGGAATACCAAAAGAACAAACAGGTATGTCTAAGAAAAGTGCAACCACAGTGGCTTTGGAAGCAAGGATGGCAAAGCTTCTTCTCCCATACTATGGATATGTTGTTAAGAGAGGCTATTAATTGGAAAGGGATTAGTGAAAGAAAGGAAGACCATTGACACAGTAATTGCAGTAATAGGCTCAAGTACATCAGATGATGAAAATAGCATAGCATATGGCAGAATACAGGCGCATGTTGTTCCTAGGGTATCTATGAGTTATATTCGACTCAATGGCACCTAAAAAAACCCATCACGTATGTGTTAGAAGGGAGTTCTGGTAGCATAGTAGTAAAGACTTGTGCTGCCAAACCAAGGTTACAAAGTTTGATGTCACCAGGTACTCTGCAGGAGAAAGATGGGACTCTCCATCCTTGCAAATTGCTGCCTCTGATAACTTGCAGAAGGGTCAGCTATAGGTAGGATCCAACTCAATGGTATATAACAACATATTTGTTGGAAGTAGGATAACAACTTGATACTAAAGTGCTAAATATTTATCCTTGTGGAACTGAGTAAGTTCACGCACCATAATGTTTTCCAGTCCTTCCCAAGTTAGGTAATAATTTACTAAGTTATTGTTCCTGAAATTCTAAACTTTTAGATTCAAAACTTTTGACTTCCTCAATATTGTTCTGTGTGGGCTGTGAGCTTATCACATTGGATTCTGGATCCAGCAAAGCAGTAAGATTAGTGTTCAGATGAGTAGAAAGAGGAACAGGAGCATGGGGGGAACATATCTGACCTCAAGGGAACTGGTATGGTGTTATTGATGCTGTGGGTGGGGATAATTTCCTTCTGTGAAGGTGATAAAGGTCAGATATAATGCTATTTGGTTCTTGCTTTTTCCACATGGGAAATCTCCTCTCATCTGATAACTGCTTCTGAAAACCCACCTATGGGTCAGTGCCAACTCAATAGTACACAATGTTACTATGGAGGTACATACAATTGGATATTGTCAACCAACATTAAGCAATGCACATCTGTATAGTGTTATATACCAAAAATAATAAAATATAAACAGTGGAGAACTTACAATGTACCTAATCAATTATATATTATGTATTAAAGAATAGCAAACCAAGATGTACCAGTGAAACTCAGTCTCCCTCTGGTTAAGGAGCTCAGATTTAAAGGCAGGCCTAGAGACTGAAGCACCTACTAACAAGCAGGTTATATACGCCAAAGGGTAACTGGATTCTATAAATCTGTAGTAATTTACTGCATTCACTTCATTGATTTTTATATTCTGTTTTTTATACATGAGTATCTAATTATAAAAATCTGAGTATATATTTAAAGAAAATTACTTTTAAATTGTTGCCTAGGTAGGGTTAAATTGCATTTCAGCATAATTCTGTATGGTTACAAAAGGTTAACTTTTCTTACTATTAACCAACAATTGTTAATACCTAGTGGTCATTAAAAACAGTGCTTAGAGGCTATTGCCATCTTTATGCAACTTTCATATTATTTCTGGTTAGCCACAGAGCCATTTCTCAGTCATAGCCACCTTGTATGTACAACAGAATGAAACTCTGCTCAATCCTGTGTCATCAACACAATCTCTGCTGTGATTAAGTTGCAGTCAGTTTGTTAATTTACCTCATTGAGGTTCTTTTTCTTTTCCTTGACCCTCTGTATTTCTAAACATGATAGACTTCGAAGGACTGGTCCATGCTCATAACATGGCCAAAGTATGACAGCAAAGTGTCACTATCCTTGTTTCTTTTTTTTTTTACTATCCTTGTTTCTGAAGAATGCCCTGCCTACTTTTCTATGCATACTATGTAAATAAACAAAAAAATGTGTACCTTCAATGAACAAACAAAAAATGCTAGTCCATTAATTCATACAAGAGGTACATCATTGCAAAGAGAACTGGAGGTAAGAGGGGGAGGCAGGTAATTATACAACAATGAATAAGTATGTTTTAAAAAAGTGAATGGGGAATGGGAAGTGAGGGAGGGAGGGAGGGGGTAAAATGTGAATGAATGAAAATCTAACTTCTCTGTAAACTTTCATGAAAATAAAAACTTAAATAAAATTATATTTTAAAAAAATCACTTGAATCAAAGAAAGCTCACACAATAGAAATGGGCCAAAATGCAAAACAGATTATCATGAGAGGCCAAAATAAACTTCTATAATTTTATGTATAAAATGATGTTTTCAAATTCCTTTGTTCCACTGCAAGACATAAATGTCTATACACACAAAATAACAATTTAACTAAACTTTTCAGTATTATAAAATATAACGTAAATTATAAACCTACCTGAGCTAAGAACCTATATACATACACAGGTTTGGTTTGTCCAAAGCGATAAACTCTAAATATACTCTGGATGTCATAAGATGGATTCCAAGAAGCATCAAATATAATCACTCTATTAGCAGCTACCAAATTTATCCCGAGAGATCCTGCTTTAGTGGAAATGATAAATAATCGTCCTCTGAAAAGGAAAATATACAATAAATGTATTAGTAATAGAAGTAACAGAGTGTTTCACAAAATATTTTATGTAAAAATAAATTAGCTATGGGTTATCTAAAAGAAGGATATTGGAGCATGAAGTAGTTGGCTTACTCACTTTCACAAAAGTAGCTGTTGGTAGGATGACTAAGGGAAGAAAAAACCAACCAACCCTAAAATAAAAATGAACTGTATGGTATACAATGCATATGAAGGATAGAAATATTAACAAAAATTTAAAATATATGAACTTTTGACACTAAGGCAGTCTTTTGAATATTTACTTCTTACTAAAAACAAAAAAAATTCACAAAAGACCTGTAACAACAAACAAGGCATATCTAAGTAATCTAGTTTATTATTTACATGCCTAGGAAAAAGACTGCTAGTAGAAAGTGAAATCTAGAGATTTAGGGAGAAAGATGAACACGGAAATTATGTATTACAGTGTATTTAAGGTTTTACTTAGAAATTTCCTAAATTATATAAAAAAATTTATATGTAATTTGCAAGTCCACATTGTGATAGTTAATGTTATGAGCACTTGCTCTTGTTTTTAGGTGCCACTGAGTTGAGTACAACTCATAGCAACCCTATGGACAAAAGATCTGAACCTGGTTCTATCCTGTGCCATCCTCACACTTTCTGACACACAAGAACCCACTGTGGCAGTCACTGTGTTGATCATTGGGTTGAGGGTCTTCCTCTCCTTTGCCAACCCTCTACCCTTCTAGCATCATGTCCCTCTCTAATGAACAGCTCCTTCTTGCAATATGCTCAAAGTATATGAGGCTAAGCCTCATCATTCTTGCCTCCCAACAGCACTGTTTGTTCATGTAACCATTCACAGGATGTTCAGTACTCTTCTCCAAAAACAGCTCAAAGGCATAAATTCTTCTGTCATCCTCTAGCTCTGTCTAGCTCTCAGATGCATAGCAAAGCCTATGGCATGAATCAGATGCACCTTAGTCCTCAAACTGACATCATTACTCAATAACATGGAGCAGTCTCTAACTGCAAATTTTCCCAGTGCAATGTGTCTCCTTATTTCCTGACAAATGGTAACAAGGGTGTTAATTGTGGATCCAAACAAGATGAAGCTGTTGACAGTTTCAAGTTCCTCTCCATCCATCACTAGGTTGCCTACAGGTCCAGTGGTAAGAATCTTTGTTTTCTTGACATTGAGATGCAATCCATACCAAAGGCTGCTTCCTTAATCTTCTAGAACAAGTGTTTCAAATTCTTCTCACTTTCAGCAAGAAAGGTTCTGTGAGCTGTATACAAGTTATTGGTGAGTGTCCCTCCAATTCCAATGTCACATTCCTCTTAAGAGTTCAGCTTCTCTAATAATTTGCTCAGCATACAGATTAAATAGTATGGAGAAAGAATATAACCCTGTCACACTCCTTTTTGAATTTTAAACCATGCAGTGTTTCCCTGCTCTGTTAGCACAACAGCCTCCTGGTCCAGGTATAGGTTCTGAATGAGCACAATTAAATATGAGCACTAGGAATATCAAAGTGAAGGAAAATGTCATTGAAGAAAGTTTAGTAGAGGGGTAAGACAACATACAACATACAGTAATGACTTAGAAGAGAACCCAAAATTGAAACTCATTGCTGTCTAGTAGGAATCAACTCATGGTTGACCTTCCAACAGGTTTCTGAGGCTGTAAATCACATGGAACAAGAGTCCTACCCTTACTCTACAGAACAGCTGGTGGATTTGAACTGCTAGAGAGTGGCAGCCTTTCAGTTAGTAGAGCAACCCCCCTAGAGACTAGGCTATCAGAACTATTCCTGAGGGAAAAGAAACTAAATTCCAACAGGAGCAAGAATGGAAGACTCTAAAAAGATGTGTTTATGAGAAAACCACAAACAAACAAAAAAATCCACAACACTGATATGTAAGAACGTAATTTATATTTCTGTATGAGAATTTGGCCATGATTTAATACAGAAAATTAAGTGAATGGTAACATAAAACAATAATTCATCAAAACAGATGGCTACGCGAATGAAAAAAATTATACAACTGAAGAGAGCATAAAAAACGTCAGAGCCAACAATTTACTATACCAAACATATTGTACACTAAAGAAAAACCCTGGTACAAAATTAACAGCTAAATTAATTTTATATCAACTCACAGCTGCTGCACTTTTAGGAACATAAGTTAGAGAAACAGAACTATTACCAAATTTGCAAGAAGACAAAATCATTAAACTGTTATTTATATAGTTATGATCAAAACAGTACTTGATTAGATTACAGAGTCTTAAAACTCTGTAAGAAAATTTTAAGGAGAAAGAATATCAATATTCTATGTGGAAAAAGCAGGATTATAACATCAAATAAATAACATTAAAGATTTTCTTTTACCTATGGTCGACTGATCCATCTTGAAGTACAATACTGTGAGTGACAGGATAATATCCATACATGTACAAGGAAGTCCAGTGAATACCACTATCATTCAGATATATGCACCAACAACCAGAGCCAAGGAAGAGGAGACAGAAGATTTTTACCAACTTTTACAATCGAAGATCGATCGAACATGCAATCAAGATGCATTGATAATAATGGGTGACTGGAATGCAAAAGATGGGAACAGAGAAGAAGATTCAGTAGCTGGAAAACTTGGACTCGGTGACAGAAATGGAGCTGGAGAGAGAATGATTGAATTTTGTACAATCAATGACTTATTCATAGCAAATACGTTTTTTAAGAGACATAAACGCAGGTTATATACTTGGATTTCACCTGATGGTATGCATAGGAATCAGATCGATTACATCTGTGGAAAGAACCACCGGAGAAGCTCAATATCAGCTGTGAAAACTAGGCCAGGAGCCGATTGTGGAACAGACCACCAACTACTCGTATGCAAGTTCAAGCATAAGTTGAGGAAAATTAAACCAAATCCACGGGAAAAACCAAATTATGTCTTTGAGTCTATCCCACCTGAATTTCAGAACAATCTCAGGAACAGGTCTGAGGTCTTGAACACTAATGAGCAAAGACCAGACGAGTTGTGGGAGGATATCAAGGGTATCTTCCAGGAAGACGGCAAACGGTCATTGCAAAGACATAAGAGGGAGCGAAGACCAAAATGGATGTCAGAAGAGACTCCGAAAATTGCACTGGAGGGTAGAGAAGCCAAAGCACAAGGAAGAATTCAATATACTAAAGAGTTGAATAGAAGATTTCAAAAGGCAGCACGGGGTGACAAAGTAAAATATTATAATGAAATGTGCAAGGAGTTGGAGTCAGAAAATCAAAAGGGCCGAACTCGCTTAGCATTTCTTAAGCTCAAGGAACTGAAGAACAAATTCAAACCTCGAGTTGCTATGATCAAGGATGCTTTCGGCAGAATGTTAAATGATCCAGGAAGTATTAAAAGAAGATGGAAAGAATATACTGAGTCATTGTATCGAAAGGAATTGGCAGAAACAGAAGAATTTCATGAAACAACATATGAGCAAGAGCCTATGGTAATAAAAGAAGTAATTCAGGCTGCTTTGAAGGAAATGGTAAAAAATAAGGCCCCAGGAATAGATGGTATATCAATTGACATATTTCAGCTAACAGATGCTGCCCTGGACATGCTTACCAAGTTGTGCCAAGAAATCTGGAGAACAACCACTTGGCTGGAACAGATCGATATTTGTTCCCATTCCAAAGAAAGGTGACCCAACAGAGTGTGGAAACTGTAGAAAAATATTATTGATTTTACATGCAAGCAAGATTTTACTGAAGATTATCAAAAAACAACTGGAACAGCAAACCAGCAGAGAACTGCCAAAAGTCCAGGCTGCGTTTAGAAGGGGTCGTGGTACTAGGGATATTGTAGCTGATGTTAGATGGAACTTAGCTGAAAGCAGAGAATACCAGAGGAATGTCTATCTGTGTTTCACTGACTATGCAAAGGCATTTGACTGTGTGGATCATAACAAACTGTGGCTGACTCTGAGAAGAATGGGAATCCCAGAACACTC